TATGTTATTAGTGCTTAGCATATTTTTAGTTGATGTTTTTCTTAGTTCATATCTTAGATCTTGTTAGTTTTTCTTTAACATTTTATTGTTGGATGTAACTGGAACCCTGTGTGCACAATCTCGTTCCACCACATGTACCAAATGTGGTATGTATGACAAATAAAACTCTCTGACTCTCCCTCTTATATGCTAAGCACTATGAAAGATGGGTGATCATGTAATTGTATCTGTATGTGTTCATTTGTCTGTCTGTTAGCAAAATATCTCATGAACAACTGGAACGATTGGAACAAAACTCCCAGACAATAGTCACTGTTTATACATCTACAACATTACTTTTTGAAGCTACCTCGATACAAGAAGCTGTTACAGCTAGCAAACACAAAAATGGCTACAACTCAGTTTTACCAACACTGAGCTAAAATCTGGTGTGGTAGTAGCTGAGGGTCATCCACAACAAATACTCTGAGTACTAACAGATTACACAAGATTTGTTAAAATCTTTGGTAAGGAAGACAGCTGGAGATTTGTGTTCATTCAAGGAATGCTTTTAAAAAAATATATATATTTATGCTTTTTATTCTTAAGGTCACGAATATTCTGGTGATTATTGTTTTCTGCTGTGTTTTGTAATATCTGTAAATTATTTGTTCCTAATTTTATTCAAACATTGTTTATTATTATTATTATTATTTTATCATTTATGTTTTATGTGTTATTTATATGTTATTTTAGTTGATAAAAACTTAAAGACCCACTTACAGTATGACACTGTACCAAACTCTATCGCATTTAACATTTCACTTTTCCTGCATCAGTGCGATGATTTAATAGGACAGAGCAGAACCCCAGCAGAGAGGGATGGAGGGCGGGCTTCACCTTTTATTTTTTATACTTTCATGCACAGTCCACCTTTAAAAAAAAAAAAAACAATTGACCAAGTTGTGTGTGTTTTGTTTTTGTGTGAAGCACGTGTTCCACTTGGAGCAGGAGGAGTACGTGCGTGAGGAGCTGGCCTGGAACAGGATTGAATTCAGCGACAACCAGCAGTGCATCAACCTCATCGAGGGGCAGCTGGGAATGTTTGATTTGTTAGATGAGGAGTGCAGGGTCGGTTTGCAGACCCCTTCTGCTTTTGTAGTTTTTACTCAGTCTATTGTTGCTTCTTTTGTTGCATGCTCTTGATTTGATAACTTGAGCTCACTGTGTCTTGTGAAAAGCTGAACATCTCTGTGCTAATTGTGTTTCCTTGTTTTTGTGGGATTGACTCAGATGCCAAAAGGTTCAGATGAAAGCTGGGTCCTCAAACTGTACGACCAACACCTGACCAGTAAACCCCACGCTCACTTCAAAAAACCTCGCATGTCCAACAGCGCCTTCATCATTCTGCACTTCGCTGACACGGTGAGCGATTGATTTCAAACCAAATGAAATAAATTAGTAATTTTCTCCAGGATGTGATTATTGTTCTCCCCCTGAATCAGGTGCAGTATGAATGCTCTGGCTTTTTGGACAAAAATCGAGACACAGTCTTTGAGGAGCTCATTAACATTCTCAAAGCAAGTCAGGTAGATATGTGCTGAATATAAAGTTCAGACGTTTAGTTATAATTTCTATTTGTGTAACACTGAAGTGTGTGTGTGTCAGTCTGAATTGGTGGCTGAGTTGTTCCAGCTGCAGGGAAACGCTCCCTTCGTAGCCAATGGGAGCGTTCGTTCAGGGAAAAGAGCAACCAGAGAACATAAACTCACAGTAGGCTTCCAGGTGGGACTCTATTCATTTATTTATTTGCAGGATTTTGCTTCACTTTGCCTCAGTTCACTCATGCTTCTTTGTCGCCTCAGTTCCGTCAATCCTTACAGATGTTAATGGACACTCTTAACAGCACCACCCCTCACTACATCCGCTGTATTAAACCCAATGACCTAAAAGAAGCTTTTATGTGAGTCTTATCTGGCAACTTCTCTCAGCAAAGTGTCTGTGCATATATCGTACTGGGTAACACCTAAATGTGTCATATCCTGGTTAGGTTTGACCCTAAGAGGACTGTGCAGCAGCTGAGAGCATGCGGAGTGCTGGAGACTATTCGGATCAGTGCTGCAGGTTATCCATCCAGGTCATTTAAACGTTCTTACACTCCACCAAGCTCTTAACTGCATATTAGTAGAACAGGAAAGTATCCTGAAGTTAAATGAAGGATAAGATTTTATTCACAGTATGTGGTAAATCTGTGTTCAGATGGACGTATGAGGAGTTCTTCAGCAGGTACCGAATTCTTCTTCGGGGGCCTCAAAACCAGGCCCAGGCCCAGGCTTTGTGCAGACGGTACCTGCCTGAGCTCATTCCAGACGCAGATCAGTACTGCTTTGGGAAGACCAAAGTATTTTTCCGAGCAGGTCAGGTGGCGCTTCTAGAGAGGCTGAGGTCTGAGCGGCTGCGAGCGGCTGCTGTGATCATCCAAAGTCGAGTCAAAGGATGGCTGGGACGGGTCAAATACAGCAGGGTCCGCTGGGCAGCTGGAACCATACAGCGGTTCAGCAGGGGAACTCTGGCCCGACGGTGAGGATCCATGTCTATCTGTCTCTGTGGGGAACCATTATACTTCCGTAACGTATGTTTAGGACTTGATTTCTGCAGAAGTGTGACCTGAGTAAGTCCTAGATTGAGGTAAACAGAGCTGTTTAAATAACTTTTAAATAAAAAACTCAAAAATGATTCTCACGTTGTACAGCAATACAAACTGTGCACATTATTTGTTTTATAAACACTTTTTATTGAAAGGAATTTGACATAAAAAAATTGGTCCCCATCATTCCACTGTCAGTCAGGTTGTGTACAAATGGAGAAAAAGTTGGGCCATTTTTTACGATCTAACGAGACGTGAACAAGCTGAGATTATTTCAAGATAAAAGTTCTAGTGAAATTGTAGAAACAAATTAAGTTTTGAGTTTGAAAATCCTGATGTTCATGAGTTCATCTTAAAAAACAAATAAAGCAATAGTGTGAAAGAACAAGAAAGAAGGCCATTGAAGAGTTCTGTGAGCAAACTAAACTGAGATTAAGATGGAATTAATTTATTTAAATGAGTTGTGTAATGTTTGGAGAACAAAAATGTCTGATCCACTGTGGATCTTCACATGGTGGCGTTAGTATCATGATTTGGTCTTGAATGCCGTGATTGGAGAAGTAGGAACAACAAATGCATAAATACACGGGTGAATTTATACAAAATGTTAGCATATAAATCAATGTACAGCAGGGGTGTCCAATGTGAGGCCCGAGGGCCATTTGTGGCCCTTGGAGAGATTGTGTGCGGCCCATAACTGCAGTTTAAGAATATTCTAAATTTGAACAGCAGGTTTAAGAGGTTAACGAAGACTTTCTGCAAATTCAGTGGTAATCTTTTTTATATAATCTTTAGATTTAACTGCAAAACAGATAAAAAAACAATCTTCTCAAAATGAGCAATATTTAGCAAAATTCAAACCTTTGGCTTTAAACTTTTATTTTCACTTCATGGTACAAAACACTACAAACCTTTACAGACTCTTATCAAAAAGGAGACTTTTAGATAATGATTCATAAAACTTGGCTAAATGTTGCAGTTGATAAAATAATCAAGAGGGAAACTGGACATTTTTAACTGAATATAACGTGGTATCATCTGCATACGAGTTGATCAACTTTATCAAACCTTCAATGAATATGATGTAGTGACTGACAGCTGGACGATTTTTCATAACTTCCATCTGTCTTTAGGGTCGTCCATGGTCCAAAAGGCTGATCGACCCCCTTTTTAAAGGACATTTAGTCATATTACAGTTTTGTTGCTGAGAACAGACTAAAATGAACTTTCCAAACACAAGAAAACAACAAACACAGACCCAACAAATCAAATAAATCATTTTAAATAAAAAATATGTGATTAGTATTTATGAGACTTTTAATGTTTTGGCTCTACAACAATTTAAAACTCTTTCTCCCAAATATTGTTCACACTGAGAGTTAAACTCAAATTTTTGTGGCCACGAGTCCTTTCATCTGGATGGTTTTATTCCACATATGAAAATGTTTGGACACCCCTGCTGTACAGAATCCTAACAGAAATATTATTATATGTCTAATAAAGACCTTTAAAAAAAACACATTAAGAAGATGGGAAAGATTTGAACAGATAAAGTCAAAATATTTTCATCTATATGCATCAGAAACGTAGCAGAAAAACCTGATTTATTAAAATAAAATCACCATTTCAAAGCTAAAGCTTTTCTTTAATGAGGGATGTCACTATTTCTCCAGACAGATCAACCGTTGCTGAAACATTTACTTAGATACTGAAAGTAACGAATATTGAAAGGAAGGGTAGCTTCTTGGATATTAGTATATAAAAAAAATCAGTAGTATTTGCTCAGCAGGACTCTTGATTTTGATTTTAATCATCTTTTAGGTTCTTAGTGAGAACATGATTATTTCACATCCTCATATTTATGCAGATTTTTATTTTAAATCACACTTTTCCATTTTTCATTTCACCTTTATTGAATCAGGCATAAACAGTAAGAACAAATTCTTATTTCCAGTGCTGGCCTGGCAGTACCAACAGGTACTTATAGGGTCAAGGGAAGGAAAACAATACATTTAGGTAGTTACTTTCTAGAAGTAAACTTTTTAAGCCATATTCAGGGCTGTTTACCACAACAACTAGTGGAAACTAGAATAAAAGAACCCTCTATGTTATTTTTTTAACAGTTTTTAAACCTCTATCATTTTCTTAGATGACTGAGTTTTAAATTTAAAGGAACATTCAGGTTTCTTTGTCGTGTTGTTGTAGTTTGGCTCTGACGCTGCGCTACACCAAGGCTGCTCTGGTGCTCCAGAAGACCTTTCGTATGCTGCTGGTCCGACGGCTTTTCCTCGTGATCCGACAGGCCACCGTCACCATCCAAGCCTTCACCAGGGGAACGCTGGCGCGCCGCAGACACAGTCAGGTTTGCAGCCTTTGCCCCAAAACTCCAAGTTAAAAGCAGGTGAGCTGTGATTTGAATGTTCAACTTCTTCTGGCTCCTCAGCTGGTGGCAGAGAGGGCTGCTGTGCTGCTCCAGGCCAGAGTACGGGGGTGGCTGGCAAAGCGGGCGTACAGGCGTGTGCGTGCGGCGGTGGTGTTTATGCAGTGCTGCGTGCGCCGTAAGGCCAGCAGGAGGGAGCTGCTGAAGCTGAAGGCTGAGGCTCGATCAGTGGAGAGGTACAGGGAGCTCAACAAGGGCATGGAGGTGAAACTGATGCAGCTGCAGCTCAGAGTGGACCAGGAGGTGCGCGAGGGCCTCAAAAACTACGGAGCATAAAAATGTTTTGAGCTACAGATGATATTTATTTAAATAATTGCACATCAAGGTTGGTATTTTTTTTTTTTTTTTGTATTTGACAGGTAAGGCAGAGTGCTGCTCTGAATGAGACCCTCAGTGCAGAACGAGAGGCTGCAAGCGTTGAGCTGGAGGCTCTGAGGTCGATCATACAGAAACTGGAGAACCAGAAACAGGAGAAGCTTCCTACTGGTCCAGTTGTCAGTGAGAAGGAGGTGGAGGAAAGAAGGAGAGCCGAGGAGAAAGCTGCCCAGAAGATCCTTCGACTTACAGAGGTAATGTCCCTTAAACCGAAGAGGAACTCACTTCATCCTGTTTGGAATGGTCCAGGTTTTCAAAGCTCATGTTATCGTCTCGTTATTTCAGGAGCTACAAACGCTGCAAAAAGAAAAGGACGATGTTTACATCGAGAAAATGGATGTCTCTGCTCGTTTGCTCGAGCAAGAGAAAACCCAACAGGGTGGGCCTTTGTTTCTTAAACAGTCTTTTCGCTTTGGTTCCGATCTTATTTTGGATCTTGGACCTCTTCTTTCCTGTCCGTCCGTGCAGAGTGTGTGCGTCAGGCTGTGTTGCAGGCCAGTGCAGCTCTTCGCTCAGAGCTGGATGAGGAAAAGATGAAGTATCAGGGTCTCCTGAAGGACTTCACCCGACTGGAGCAGAGATACGACAACCTCAGGGAGATGAGTCTGCTCTCAGAGGTCCATAACTCCTCTTCAGCGTTGAGCTCTAAAACTTTAGCTCTTTTACTTCATGTTTCTTCTTCTGCTCACAATGCAGCGTGGCAAAGGCCACCGGAGGACCGACTCCTCCCAGAGTTTGATCTTCGAGCCTCTTTCTCCTTCTTCGACTCCACTGTCACCCCAGTCTCTCACCCCGCTCTCGCTGTCACCCTTCCCCTCTGCGTTTCCTTCCCCGGAGGCGGTACGGAGGATCAGCGTGACGTCTCCCACTGAGGAGAGGAGACACTCGGTGTGGAGCTCAGACACACAGATGGTGAGTAAAACATGAGAGCTGCATAAAGACTCAGAAGAACATCACATGATCCTAACACTTCATAGACTGATCTGATTGATTGATGTTCACATTGGCAGGAGCAGCTCATGGAGAAGATGGATGTTCCTAAGGACCCGGCGGTGAAGATGAAAAGAGAAGACTTGGAACTAGCTTACGATGCTGTTCGGGTAGCAAACAAGTCAGTGTGTCACTCCTTCCTGCCTGTCAGTGGAGTTGTGTTGTGTGCAGGAGCTCACACTGATCCAGGCTGATCTGTGCAGGTTTCTGGAGCGTCAGCTCCGTCAGCAGCACCATGGCTGGGAGGAAGAACTCAACGCTCTGAGGTCCCAGCTCAGTCAGGCCGCCATGTGTTCCTCCTCTGCTGCACAGGCACAGGTTCGCTAATGCATTCCTGTTTTTGTCATTTTATTTCCATCCATCCATTATCTTTATCCGCTTCTTCCATTTTGGGTCACGGGGGTCGCCGGTGCCCATGTCCAGCAATCACTGTGTGAGGGGCGGGGTACACCCTGGACGGGTCTCCAGTCCATCACAGGGACACATAGAGACAAACAACCATTCACTCTCTCACTCACACCTAGGGACAATTTAGAGTTACCAATCAGTCTAACATGCATGTTTTTGGTCAACCGGAGTACCCGGAAAAAACCCACGCATGCACGAAGAGAACATGCAAACTCCACCCAGAAAGGCCCCCGGACCGGGGTTTGAACCAAGGACCTGCTCGCTGAGAGGCAGCAGCTCTACCAGTTGCGCCACCGTGCTGCCTCATTTTATTTCTCCCTTTATTATTCTTATTTTTTGCAATCTAACTATCTTTGTTTGCAGGATGTTTATAGGTTATAATGTTCAATTCATTCAGGAGATGGGTTAGAATAACTGCTTTGTAACTTTTATACTTTTTAAAATATGTGACTTCATTTACATATATTTTACTCAACGAAATACATTAGGATCTCTTTAAATCATTCAAAATCAATGTTCTCTTTAAAAATCTGATTTTGCATATTTGCAGAATTTTTGCTTTTTTATGCTACTTTTAGTTTTTAGCGTCTGCATTGCTCCTTTTAGCTTTCATTCATTTTGTTTAAACTCATTTTCAGTTTCTTCAGCAAATGTCAGCAGTCATTCAGCACTCAGCATTCATTGCTCTGGTTAAAGTTAACTACTGTATATTCTAGTCCTTGGAAACAACTGCAGTGTTTATGAGTTAACGATCTTTCATGTGTGTTGCTTCAGCAGTTTTTGCACATTTCATGTTTAGATGTTCTTACCCTTTCACAAACTGATCTGAAGTCCATGAATGTCTTCCTGCACAGGATCTCTGGGAGCTGCTGGAAGCCAGAGAGCAGGAGTGTGTGAGGCTGAGGAGGGAGCTGAAGGAGTTAAAAACAACAGTGTCGCTCAGACGCCTCCTCTCACATGGTAAGCTTCAACTCTGCATAGATTGAGGAAGTCTATAAAAAAATCCACATTCCTGGGATATTTCCTACATTTGCATTCAGTTAGTTTCATGATGATGTGCTTTCTCTTTCTAGTTTTTCCATCAGCTTTGACCACAGAAGTGTGCTGCCCACCTCAGCTGAAACCTGCAGCAGTCAGCAGCTCGTTGGAGTGTAGGAAAAGAGATGAAACCAAACTCATCAAAAACCTCATCACAGGTGAAACATAACTAATATATTTTATCCAATGGAGTCCCACATATTCCACTAACACTCTGCATCCCATGTTACTGTAGTAGATATTTTCTATATGATACTTTTTGCTGTCAATCAGAATCATGGTTGTCAAATTATTTAAGAATTAGTCAGGATTTGTTGTAGAAACACTGTTTAACTCTGAACAGCACAAGACCAAATGGAACCCCCTGATGGGATGTCCTCCAAACTTCTTTATACTCCCCTGCTTACGTAAAGATCATTGTACAAGCACACACACAAGCTGTTTTTGCCAAAAGTTGCCCAGTACAAAAGTTCTCTGGCTGTATGCCCAGACATTCTGATGTCTGGTCGGCTTCCCATAAGATAAACACATTTTTTCCTTATCCAGTAAGATAAGTTTACCTTGACCCAAACCGATTCCCATATTCCGAATTTGGCAACGTATTGAGGGGTCCTGTTATAAAAGTGATTGCCCCACACATTTCATAAAACTCCTAAATCCTACAGTCCTCCCTGTTTGAGGTAATTCCTCAAATAAACTAATGCTGCATAATTTTCTGATATATTTAGTGATACATGACTATATGAGTGTGAGATTAAATTATCCTTATACATAATTGTATATTGCGCTTTACACTGTGATGAAATGATAATGCAAAATAGTGGTGTTATATCAACTAAAACCTATGATCTTACTTAAAACAAAATGTAAGCACTCAGTTGTTTCATTGGATGTTTGTATTTACTGTTCAGGTTAATTACAGGTTACTGCTGGTCTGTGCAAGCCCCGCACCCTTAATTATTCCATGTATTATAGAAATAATCATCTGAAGTTGTTGCTTCACTCTATAACTCTCTGTTCTTCAGACATCCGAGCTGATGTCGCTCTGTCTCTGCCTCCTGGTCTGCCTGCCAGAATCCTCTTTCTGTGTGTCCGTCAGGCCGACTGCAGCGGCGACCAAGGCCGAGCTCGCTCGCTCTGCAGCGCTGCCGTCACCGCCATGAAGGCCGTTACCAAGGTAACCTGAGCCCTGAACATTAGTCGAATGATAGAAGTTTAATGTACAAGATCTTGAATGCTAGAGTTTTTGGAAAGCAAATATTAGGTAATTTTATACAAATCATTCTCTTAAATGTTGTTTTTAGTGTCAGTGATTTTTAATTTTATTTTTCTGTTTCTGCAGAAACATATTAATGACTTACACATGACGGCACTGTGGCTTGAAAATGTCTGTCTGTTGCACGACCTGCTGGTCCAACATTCCCCAAAACAGGTATTATTTATTTATTTATTATTATTTTACTGTTTCTATCAGGGCTTTTACTTAGTCTTGAAACGTTTGGAATTTAATGAGGTATTTTCCAGGTCTGGATAAGTATGAAAAAAATAAAATGAATTGCAAAAGAAACCTTTCCACTCTCTATCAATGGACAGTAATAGATCATTTCATTGTTGGGAAATAACACTGTTTTTAATGTTATTAATGTATTTACAATAGCTTTATTAGTGTATGTCCAAACAAAAAACAACAAAACAAAACAAACAAAAAAAATAGAATAAAATAAAAAAACAGGAAAAAGTCAGATATGCACTTTAAAAAAATTAACATTTGTAAAATTCAGATCAAAAAATGTTTTGTATAAAAACAGATTTTATATTTTGTTATGATGCAATGAAAATCCAAATAAATTTTGGGGAAAAATTATCTATCTATCTGTCCGTCCGTCCGTCCGTCCGTCCGTCCGTCCGTCCGTCCGTCCGTCCGTCCGTCCGTCCGTCTGTCTGTATCCTTCCCTCATCCAATAATTTTATGTAAGCATACAGATAATAATAAAATAATAATAATAAATAAATAAATAACAGTCTAACTGTGCAAACATGTCAAATGATAAATTTTAATTAGATAATTTTTGATACAGATTTTTTTTTGTGTTACTATGGCTCAAAAATTGATAATAATTGTGAAAATATGAGTCTGGTAAGGTATGGGGTATCTAAATGGAAACTGTAGGAACCCCGGACAAACATCCTCGTAGATTTGTACAAAAATGATGCTCTGTGAAGTATTTTTATTCACAGTTTGCTTCTTTTAAAATTGCACGACTTGTTTCAATACCTGTCAGAGCCTTGACCCAGATGAGTTGGTTCCTTTGACCTTTGACCTGAGCGACTTGATCCGCTCCCTGAGCGACCTGTGTATCCAGTCCTATCAGCAGCTGCTCTGCATCACAGAGACACACCTACAAAAACTCATAGGTACCCTACATCAGCCATGATACTGACACTTGTGAAGAAAGCTTCTTTCCACTTCGAGTTTCACCTTCTTCCTCTTCCTCTTCCTCTTCCTCAGTCCCAGCCTTGCTGGAGAGCGAGACCATCGCAGGCCTGTCCAGCTCAGCTGTGAAAATGGGAGTATCCAGGAAGCGAGCAGGTTCAGATCCCAAGCCGGTGGGAGCAGAAGCCCCCACCATGGCTCCTGTGTTGAGGGAGCTTGGAGCCCTTCACACTGCCCTGCTCCATCAGGCTCTGCCCCAGAGCCTGATGGAGCAGGCCTTCAGGCAGCTCACCCACTTCATCTGCGCCTGCACTCTCAACAACCTGCTGCTGAGGAAGGACATGTGCTGCTGGAGCCGTGGCTTGCAAATACGGTAGGAACACGGACCAAAAATATACATTTACACACCCACTACATCCTTGTTTTTGAGAACTGGCACGGCCATAGTCTCTTTCAGAGTGATGTTGTCCTGCATGTGCTGTGTAACAGTGTTTATGTTGCTCCTATCTTGGTTTTTCTGTTGTTGAAAGCGCTTGTGCTTGTTGTCTTGTCTCAGCTACAATGTGAGCCTGCTGGAGGAATGGCTGCGGAGCCGAGGTCTGCAGGCAGGGGGCATCATGACCACACTGGAGCCCCTCATCCAAGCAGCTCAGCTGCTGCAGGTGGGGAAAAAGACTGACGCAGACGCTCAGGCCATAGTTCACACCTGCACTGCCCTCTCCAGCAAACAGGTGGGTTTGTTTAGTTTGAGTTGAACTTGAAGGGAATTTTTCATCACCTGCTGCTGAAAAGTGACAGGAAAACAATAATCTATTTATCTGTTTCCAATAAATCTCATGAACCACTGAATGAATTTTAATTTAACTTGCAGGAAGTAATGTTTGGATGTACACCTACAACTGATTAACTTTCAGTGCCAATCAAATTCAAGATGGCTCCCACAACCAACTGACCTTAAGAAACACAATAATGATCAATCAGTCTTACAGATATTAAGCTAAAGTTTAATGTGGCCAAATCTAACAAGGTGGAGTCAGCTCCTCTGGACAGATTCTCTTTTGTTGAAACGTTTCGTCTTTTATCCAAAAGACTTCTTCAGTCTGAGGAGCTGCAACAAACTCAGTCTTATAAGCAGCACCTTCTCATAGTGGATCAACTACTATTATTTATATTATTGCTATTTTTGAGTGTAACTGGGATCTTGAGTACACAGTTTCATTTTACCTCATGTACCACATGTGATGCAAATGACAATAAAGTCACCTTGAACCTTAAACCAGTTTGCTGGTGACAGCCAGAACTAGCTGTTCACATGTAAGAGGACCATCAGTTTAACAACTGATCATCAGTGCCCTGATGGCCGTTTGCTATTCACAGAGGGCTGAGTGATACTGGCAATAACAACATTGTAAGAGGGGGACAGTTGGACACGGAGGCCTCCGCCTGTTTAACAACAGGTGGATTCTCTTCACAAAGATGGCCTCCTTCACTCCTCTCTCAAACCATCGTTCCTCTCCATCCAGGATGTGAACATCTTCATCCCTGAAAGAGTGACCGCTGGCCTGGAGATGAGTGTAGACCGCAGAGTCCTGGCCTGATGATGTTGCTCTTCTGTGCCGGTCCTCCTTTTGCATGTGAACAGCTAGTTTTGTCACCAGCAAATCAGCTGATCCACTATGAGAAGGTGCTGCTTATAAGACTGTTAGTTGCAGCTCCTCAGACTGAAGAAGTCTTTTGGATAAAATAGGAAACATTTCGGCTGAGAAGACTCTGTCCAGAGGACCTGAGTCCACCTGGTTAGATTCATCTATCTGGATTATTGAGCATGCATCAGGACAGGGTGGTTGTAGCTGAGAGTCATTCACAGCAGGTGAGTGTGAGCTCCTGTGACGTTGCATCAGATTGTGCAGAACTTGTGGGAGACTGCAACGTAGTGAAGATTCAACACAATCTGCTGGCTTCCTTAGATAGATAACTTTTACTAACTGGCTTTTTAATGTATGTGAATGTTTTGGAGACGTCTTCTGGTCTGACTTGGAGCTACAGAAATAAACTGAACGTTCAAATTTGACCAGACACAACGTCCTTTCTCAACCGTGGGATGAAAGGCAACAAACGACGTGCATTATTTCAAGACATGTAAATAATAATCATTTCCTTGACAGATTGTGAAAATTCTGACTCTCTACACGCCACATAGTGGTCTTGATGAAAAAGTATCTTTGAATTTCATCCGCACGGTCCAGGTACGGTCTGCAGCTGTAAACTTTGAACACGTTCACCACTTTTAAAACTTCCAAGTTTCATATCAGCATTTTCCACTTTGCTTATTTTTAGGAACTTTTGAGAGGCTGCTCTGACAGTCAGCCTCCGCAGCTCCTCGTGGATGTGAGGAGAGCGTTTCCTGTCACATTCCCCTACTCGCCTCCGCCCGTCGTCAGCGCTGAAGGATTAGTCATCCCAGATTCCCTGAAGATCTCTTTTCTACACAGAGCCTGAAAAACTGGATGCAAATATTTACTCGTTTTAGCAAACTGAACTTACTGACAGTCAGAAGCACGGACTTGTCCAAATGAATAAAACGTACAAAGCTCTTGTTTAAACATGTTTTACTGGCAGCAGAAACACAGTCAGACTGTAGTATCAGGAGCTTCAACCCCCCAGTGAGAACAACCAGAATTTAAAAAAAGAAGAAAACAAAAATTAGAAACATCTCGTGTATAAAAAAATTTCCATGCGAGTACTTTGTACCACTACACATCATCAGTAATACATATTTATATATTCACAAACATTTGAAAAATAGAAAACAATACTGAAATATCAAAATATAGAATACAACAGTTGGCATTTAACATCAAATAATTATGCGTGCTGGCACATTACAAGTTCGGCTCCAATCATGCACCTTCTGGAAGTACACGACCGGCACTTTGTTTTTTTTTGTGGCTCTGGTCACTCGGACAGAGCGAGGAATGATCATGCATGCCTGTCTGCCTGTGTGCTTTTTGTTGTGCTTCTTCTGTCCTACACTTCTGTCTGCAGCCCGGCCTCGCTCGACACCCCTCACAGCCCAACACGCAAACCGAGTGTCCGGAGGAGGAAGAGCTACCTCGACTCAAAGTGTCATTGTCAACAGCAATAAATAAAGATTATTTTCGTGGCATTTCCGGCTATGTGACCTGCTATTTAAAGTTTATTAAAAGATTGCGCAAATGTCCTCTTTTGATAAGAGACCTTGTACACGCCAGAGTTGAAACGCTTGTTTTTGTATGAGTTTGTAGTCTGCAGTGTGTAAAATGATGCATGTTGCCAGTTTGAAAGTCAGAAACGGGCACCGTGTTAGTTTATCTCCCTTCAGGCCGATTAAGCAGATACATATGGCTTGAGATTCATCTCTAATGTGTACACGGCCTTCCTGGACCTGTCTGCAGTAGCTACATGCTCAGTTGCACGGCACGAAATTCAAGTCTACAAAAGAGCAGCAAACTTCACTTCACGTAGTCTGATGTGTGTTTTGTTACATTTGAACTATTTACAACGATGCATCTCTGTTCCCAGATTGTTTATTTTATTTTATTTTTTTTAGCACAAACATGTTTCAGCTTCGAATCGACTTCACAACACCTTTGATATTTGGCCCATTGGAATAGAAACAGAACTTACATAAATCAGAAAAAAAAATCACTTGTGCTGATATTAGCATAATCATCATCCACAATGTAAACATTATAAGACTGCTTCCAGAAGATGACTCCTCAACAAAGTTTATAGACTGGATGCATAGAGTTCAGTTACCGTGCTCGGAGAAACGGGGCTCGATTAATCGTTTGGTTGCCACGTAGTTGCACTGGAGGGAAGGCGAGGGAGTGGCAGCCCTCCTTGAGTGGCAACCAAATGTGAACGAGGCAAAACTAGAAAACAATACCCATCTTATTTTTATAATTTGTTACTTTTTTAAGTTCTAAAAACACCAATATTAGTTAATTCTTAGATTTTTTTGTTACTGTTAAGCAAACAAAATCATTTCTTTAAAAAGTTCATTATAGTTTTGAGAAACATGCTAAATTTCAAGCTTAAAATATTTTCGTTCCACAAGAAAATTGAGCTGAATTTCCCAGATTTGATTAGAAATAACGCTTAATTCTTACAATCTCATAAACAAAACGAGATAAAAGAATAAGTTCATAGCCCGACAAAGACCGTGTGTTTCTAAATCTACATTTCTGTACTCGATGGTGATTAGAATAAAATGCCCTGTTTTTAAATGTCAGGAACAGATTGGAAAAGGTCTGGTTCTGCAGCCCTTTAGCAGAGGTTTGACTTCTCCATTGGGATTTGGACATGAAGCATCTACCGCTGTAGATGGGACCATTAGGGACCATAGGTGCAGGATCACTGGAGACCTGGATGTGTAGTTCCCCTTGTGGGATCATTGTCCTCAAAGAAACCAAAAAGAATTCCCAATTTATAACTAAGGGTGTCAATGCATTACCTAAATTACTATTCTACTTCTTTCATGATTTACATGATTCATGATTTTTGTCTGTTTTCATAACCAGCTATGAAAAAATACATGCAAATTATACTAAATGTACATTATTTTATATTAAACGGTTGGCCCAGTGGTGTGCTTTGTTGATTCAGGTACAATATAAAGCATACAGAAAATCTGAACAACAAAAAAAAAGCTGCAGGAAACGTCCTCTTGGACCAGGGGTCTTCAACCTTTGCTATAAAAAGAGCCATTTTTGCCACTTTGTTTACTAATTATTATAATATCTGGAGCTGCAAAACCTGCTACAACTGTGCACTGTCAACTGGTGGCCCATGGGCCACTACAAGTTTGTTGGAGATAGCTTTTCCTGCCAGTGGGGGCTATATTATGAAATAAATAATGTCTATTATTAACACTTATTGATATTTTTACAGTTTAATACAAAAGACCAAATTCATGAAAAGAAAGAAATATATAATTTTTTTAACAATTTTATAAAAATTAAAACACTGAACTCTGCAGGTTTATATGAGTTCTCTTAATTGTTGAAGAATTAAGTATCCTACTTCAAGCATAAAGTTAAAAACAGTATAAAATTAGGTCAGTTTGTTGGATATCTAATTACATTTTTAAAGAAAAATAAATGCTTCAGTTTACTTTAACTGTTGTTTTTTATTCTTAGTGTTATTAAAGTTACTCAACATTAATCCTTCTCAGCAACTTGTCCTAAAGATATTACAAAACATTCTGGGGGTTTTGAGAGAAAGATCACGCAGAGACTGGAAGTCGACTTAAACTGTCTAACAAACTGCTAGCATGATGTAGTCCACATGTCTTATGTCTTGTATTTCTACTATTCTTCATGTATTTGAAAATGCCAGGAAATCTGATAAAACTAGCCACTTTGATTGTTGGTACAAATTTAAAAATATTTCAGTTTCATGTTAGTTTTGGTCAAAGCCTGAAAGAGCTGCTGCGGAGGGAGCAAAGAGCCACATGTGGCCCCAGAGCCGCAGCTTGCAGACCCCTGTCTTAGACCACAATAGGATTTTGAGAAAACGGGTAAGAAGACCTATCACTCTTTGAAACTACAGCTCAGATGTACTTCACAGAAGAAACATTAATCAAAGTTTAAACGGGTCAAAAGAAGTTGTCCCCTATATGACACAACTGGCATTTCAAATTGTTTTGTTTTTCACACAATGGCAGCTCAAGTTGATGTTTTTTAAATATTTTTTTATGAAGCCTCCAACAGACTGATCATGTCAGACACTAACTTTCAAACTGTCCAAAGTTTTCAAATATTTTGCAAACAAACTTTTACTACATGTGCAAATTATACATCAAAATGTAGACTTTTATGGGGTGCCATTTGTAAAGTTACACAGTCAAAAATTAACAGCAATATTTTGGTTTATTTAGCCTTTAATAAGAAAAAAAAGTTTTTTTTTCAAACATATTTTCACCATGTTATTCATACGTTTATAAATGTCATAGTTCCAAAATAAATATTTACTTTACAAGCTAAATATTTAGTTTACTAACTAAACACTTAATGTGCAAGTTAAATATTTAGTAAGTAAACTAAATATTTAGGTGTAAATAAATAATTAATTTCCAAACTAAATATTTATTGTCCATGCTAATTATTTAATTTTTAAACTAAACATTTCATTTCAAAAATAAATGTTTAATTTGCTAACTAAATATTTAACTCTCACCTAAATATTTAGCTTGCAAGTTAAACATTTAGGTGAGAGTTAAATATATAGTTAGCAAATTAAACAATTATTTTTTAAATTAAATGATTCGCTTGGAAATTAAATAATTAGCATGGACAATAAATATTTAGTTTGGAAATTAATTATTTATTTACACCTAAATATTTAGTTTACTTACTAAATATTTAACTTGCACATTAAGTGTTTAGTTAGTAAACTAAATATTTAGCTTGTAAAGTAAATATTTATTTTGGAACTATGACATTTATAAACGTATGAATAACATGGTGAAAATATGTTTGAAAAAAAAACTTTTTTTTCTTATTAAAGGCTAAATAAACCAAAATATTGCTGTTAATTTTTGACTGTGTAACTTTATAAACAGCACCCCATAGCCATTTGTGTATTTTTCATTTATTTATTTACACTTTATTTATACAGGTAGTCTCACTGAGTCACGAGAACTCATTTTCAAGAGAAACCTGTTTTTGGGAGCAGATGGGGGTTAAGGGCCTTGCTCAGGGGCCCAGAGTGGGGCAAATGAGGGTGGAGGCAGGTGTAGGTGTTTCACCATTCCCACCCATATTTTGTGTGTTGTCAGCCCTGGGAGTTGAACCTGCGACATTCCGATCACAGACCCATCTTCTCTAGCCTCTGCACCACCACTCCCCACTCTCCTCTTCTTTCATCCAATGTGTTACAAGGTTTGAGTTTTTTCTCGAAGGCTTGCTTTCACTGTTTTTGTCTGCTTCTCGTTAACTTGGCAGTTAGGGAGTGACAGACAGGTGTGTGGAAACCATGACGTTTAGATTAGATTATTACAAAACTGATGTTGGACATTTAGGCAGCAGCTGCATTGGCACCCTTCAAAGTTTTATTGGAAGGTTTATAGTTTTTAATAATCTCCTTACACATTTATTTGGCAATTGCTTTTTTAATTTTTTTTAAAAGAAGGTGTAACAGTAATCTCTGTAATGCACCTCTGATACACAGGGCTGTAAGGAATGTTTGTAGTAACACACACATGCTGGAAATAACCATCGTACAATAGAAGTTTTGGTTTTGAAAAGGGAAACAAAACTTTGTCTAAACTAATATGATGGCTTCTCTTTGCGATTACATTTGCAGGTAACAGGTGACACGGGGTCAACATATGAACACGCTACAAACACAACGTTCACACCTGCACGCCGTCATTCACACACACACACACACACACACACACAGATATCCACTGATGAATCACGGTGCTCAAAGGTGTGCTTTCATCGGTTACCTCTCCTTACTGTCCTTATGTCGGACACATGAGGGTCAACGAGACAGAAGGCATTGAGGGTGTCAGGCAGTGTGCTCTGATACAGATGATGGACAAACAGACAAGGATCATCTTTCATCCATCAACCTTAGACGTATTTTTATATCTATATAAATTATATATATCTATTTGTGATAATATATAGGATTATTAAAATATAATATCGGAGAAGAAAAAATAAATTCAACAAACTGACTAGAGTTTTGTGCCTGTGTGTTTCCCACCTAACACGAGGCATGTTTGAGGTCGTGCAGCCGTTCTACATGTATGATTATTTGTTCTGTTGTGCTCGGGGTTGGTCTTGGCAGCTTTTAGCGATTATCTGTTGGCACTTGTGGTCCCTTCTCTAAGCTGGACTCGTACCGGGATCAAAGATAGGAAAAAGCAGAGAGGAGAGGAGGTCAAGAGGCAGGAGAACGTAAGAAAGAAAGCCGAGATATTAAAGGCTACAAAGCCCTTCCTTTGACTGGTCAAATAAGAGTGTGTGTGTTTCTCCTCTGTGAATAAAGCAGAGGAGAAACATGCTCTGAGTAAACTCTGTGATGGTTTAAAACATCAGCAACAATAAAGACACTCGTGTTGTTTTAAGGAAGAGTGTGGTGCGTTGCTGTATTTACAGTATTGGATGTGTAGTGATGTGCTTTTACACCTGTGGATCATCAGGGCAGTGACTTGCAGCGGCTCAGAGGAGCTCCAGGCGTCTGATGTTTTAAGTTTTCCTTTTAGCTGCGGCCTTCTTCAGCTGAGCGCTGGTCCGACTTGAGCTTGACGAACTCCTTGGCCACGTCGTCGTTATTGCGTTGGGAGAGGATGCGCAGGACGGTGAGGCCCGTCTCGTCCATGTGAATGCGTTTACCCAGCGGCAGCCAGCAGGCCACGCTGCCCTTCGATGCCACGTCCTTCAGCTGCAGGACAGCCATGCCCACGGTGCGGTCCTCTCGAGCGAAGCAGTAGTCCTTCACACACACCTGCAGCTCGTAGCACTCAGGGCCCACCTCGTTGCTCAGAGTGCTGCAGAGCAAGCAGAAGGAGAAGAGGGTTACACCAGCATCTCCACACCAGCATCTCCCCATCACTCCGCCGTCTACTTACAAAGTGAAGGTCTCGTTATATTTGGGAGCCCAGCTGTTGTTTTTGGACTTGGTGGCATACTTCCTCTTTTTGTCGCTCAGATGAGGACCGATGATATAGACCTCTACAAACGGGCGGAATATTCCTTGCGTCTGCCACCTCAGGTCGTTAGCAGCCACCACTGAGGCATGAAGAGAAGAAGAAGAAGAAGAGGAGGGAACGTGAGTGGGAAGGTGTGGGTAATTATGAAAAAAAAAAGAGATTTATGTGGCAAAAATGTGTGAAAGTGGAGTGTGAGAAGAAGCAAATGAACAAGAAAGCGTAGTCTCTTTTTTAAGTGTTCATATTCAGCTTCTTGGCAAGACGGTAAATAATTTATTATGTCACATTTTTCTGTAGCAGCTAAGTTTTCATTTGGATATGTTTGGCCTATTTTGTTTTACAATTTTACTTGTTAACCTTCCAGAGACAAACACAAAGAAGGTACAAGGAAACTGTTACCTTTCACTGTGACTTTGTGCTCTCCGGTGTTTGGATGAGTGAAAATCTCCACATGGATGGACACTTCTCCCACAGCGTCCTCCACCCCAGATCCTGACAGGACAGATGGAGAATAAGGGCCATATCTTAACACCTTGAATATGAAAACATGATCTCCTGTTCCTCTTATCACAGACCAAACATAAACTATGTGCTTTCATGACTAAATTCTCTTCAAAGGAGGAAACAAAAGTGAAGTTGCAAACCAAATCCATTTCACTTTCATTCAAATATTGAAATGGGTTTGGGTTGTGGTCTTGAGTGGACAATCAGACACAGCTGCTATGAGTGGGCAGTAGGGTTTATTTTTTGTGAACTCAACTGTCCACTGATTGGAGTTTTTCAAGATGAAAAACAGATTCAATACAGTAGATTTTAAAATGTTTCCTCAGTATTACATTTGCCAATATAATGAGTACTTGGCTAAGCATAAGCCATGTATACATTCATCGTCTGACATTTTGAATTCAGTATGAGCCTCAATCTGTGCCAACTCATAGATGCATGGTCTGTTAGGATGCAGGGTGGTTAGTAAGAGGCATAGAAGAAGACAGGAGATAAACTGGAGATAATCGTTCTCTAATTATCTCTCAGATTAGAGGCAATGTGTTCAACATAATGGTACTTCTTCTAGCTATCTAACTGTTAACAATGGTGTACCACAAGGTTCAGTGTTAGGACACACCCTCTTCACAATCTAGATAAGTAATGTAAGTCAGATCATTCCTGACGCATCCTCACATTTCACCTTGCAAAAAGATCTGAAACTCTCGACCTTAATCTCTCTAAGGGATTTTAAATAACTGTTAAGTTCATTGCAAAAACCAACGCAGACATGTTCCTGTTTTTAGTATTTTACATCATTTTATAATGTAGCTGGTTTGTCGTTTTTTTAATATAATCTCTTCTATTTACTTTTCATTTTATATGCTTTTTATATGATTGTCTATTGTTGTCTGCACGTCATCTGTGTTCTTTGTTTAAATCAGGTCTCTCTTGCAAATGAGTCCTTGTGGCTTAATGAGACTAACCTGTATAAATAAAGGTTGAATGAATGAAAAAAAAAATCTGAAGATAGGGTTCCCCCTCAACACTGATTGGATCTGGGTATGCTCAGTTGGACCTAACAAGGTGAAAATATCCAGTCCTTTGTAAACTTTAACCCCAGAAGGTGGTAAGAAGAATTCAGCCTCTTAGATCTATTGGTAGAAAGCTATTCATCTGGCACTGGGCCCACTGAAAACAGCCGAACAAGACTTTAATAGCAAGCTTGAGGACATTCGCGTTGAAACCTGTAGCTGCAGGGCTGATTTAAGAACATGTTTATGACCTGCCTTGGTGGCTCCAATCAGGTTTCTGTTTCGAAGAGAGAATGAGGACAAATCTTTCTGCTGGGTGTGTGTGTGCAGCTTGTGAACAAGTGGTTTATATCCACTTACACCTCCAGGAGGATACGGTGACAGATGGACATACATTTTTAATGTTTTAATTAGCGTCCTTACTCTACCAGCGTTTTCTCTGTGACAACAACCAGATATGTGTGTGCGTGCGTGTTTTTAACCAGCCGCCCACTAAACAAGGTGTCTGTGGGAGTTAGACAGCAGAGTGTTCCTGGCATGCAGCTCACTGCGTCTCTCTGGGGAGCATTATGGGATTGTTGGTTGAACTGCCAACGAGACCAAAGAGAGCAGCAGCCATCCATCTGGCCCCGTCTACTCTGCGGAGGACGTTCGGAAAAGATGAAAAAGAAACTTTGCTGGCAGGGAGGCAGGAAGTTGTTCCAAAGAGTTCGCACAATTTTCATCTTTTCCCAAACACAGCAGAGGTGCACATGTTGTAAATCTTCTTGAGAAGAGTTACAACATGTGCACCTAAACCTTGGACTCGTTTTGTGACCGTGACAAAGCATAAACGGAGATGAGTAAGTACGCAATTTTCACTAAATTCTACTGCAAATACTGTAGCACTTGGTTTGCATCATTAAGCAGTTAAAGTCTTATACTTCATAAGCAGGTCGTTTTTTTAGTGATATTCACTTCCTATTACCTGAAATGAATTCAAAACAGTGCATAATGTAGCAAATGTTGAAAAAGGTTTACAAAACATTTACATTTTAATTTGGGTCAAACAATTAGTCTAACAAGCTGGAATGACATGTTTATCACTCTGTTGCATCACCTATTTACCCCCCCCCGCCCACCCAAATAAATAAATAAATAAATAAATTGAAACTATTAACTTTGCACAACACATGAACACAAAATCTGAATGAAGCACATCTTATTGGAGCTTTTATGCTTCAGCCAATCAGTATAATCCATTGGACAAAAGAAAATGCTCAACTTCTGAGTTTTTTCTTCTTAATTTATGAGAGCAGAATTAGTTATCTTGAGCTATAAGCACAAAAATTTACACAAAAAGACAAAATTCTGGAGGAAAAGGTTTCCTTAAGTCTAACTATTCCCATGTAAAATTTAACATGAAGTTAGTAGTAGTTAGGTTATTTATATGAGCTTTAAATGGTCACACTATACAGTCTAAAGTATAGTAAGTACACTAGTCCCTCACTTATCGCAGGGGTTATGTTCCAGACACGTGGGTAAAAATCCTCGAAGTTGGGATGTTATATTTATTTTAGTATTTATTTATATATTAAGGCTTTATAAACTCTTCCCACATTCTTGCAATGTTCTTAATGTTCTAAACTCTCTAAAAGAGCACAGCGAATGAAAGCAGACAGATTGATGCTATGGTTACTGAGCCCCGGGGGCGGACTGGCCATTGGGAACACCGGGACATTTCCCAGTGACCTGGCTTGCTCAGTGATTGCAGAGGGGGACTAAAGGCTCGGTTTGGGTCACGCTTGATTATTTTAAATAATCAATTCATGCCGCTCATGTGGCTCACTCAGGTATGACAGACCCCGCCGCCCCCTCCTTGTTTACTGAAAATAATCAAGCGCAAGCTGAACCAAGGCTTTAGTCTCCCTTGGTTATCACTAAGCGGGCCAGGCCACCGGGAAATGTCCCGGTGCTCCCGATGGCCAGTCCGCCCCTCAGCACAATGCTCTGGTTGGTTGCCTTCCATCAGTCAGCTGATTGTGTGCCATGTATAATCTTAAGTTGAAAACCCACAAAAGAGTGAATCTGCAAAAGTCGAACCACAAAGTATCGAGGGGCTATTGTATTTTAAAAGCCTTTCATTTTTCATGTTTTTCATTTTAGGTTCCAAGAAAACTTGGTGTGTAACAAATACGTTTAAATATTGCATCTCAAAGCAATTTACACTAAGCTGTCCCTTTGATTTGTGCAGCATCGAATGCACATCAAGGCTTCAAGGCATCAAGGCGTCATGGCTAATCAGGTCTATCTTGTAAATGAGTCCTCGAGGCTCAATGGAATTTACCTGTCTAAATAAAGGTTGAATGAAAGCATCGAATGCACATCAAGGCTTAAAAGTAGGTAAACTGTACGAGTGTGTGAGTGTGCTAATCAGCTCTATGTGACTGTGTGGCATCTTTTTTCATCCTGATGTAAAGTGACAGAAATCAAATCACCTGACCTGAGGGAGTATTTCGGATTGGCTCAGTCAGTGGCGTGCAAACGAGTAGCGCTTCCTTTCTCATCACTGCATGTATGAGCTGTGTGAGTGTATGTGTGTGTGTGTGTGTGTGTGTGTGTGTGTGTGTGTGTGATGACAGAGCAGGCAAGGGCAGGATGCCCTCCCAGACAAAATGAGCAAACAGTCATCATGTTCCTAACAATAAACTCTGACTCCTCCTTATCAGTGTTTTTCAGTTAAGGAGGGACTTTAAGCTGATATAAAGGGATTTCTTTCCACTGTGATCCTCAAAGTAGAAAAATAATACTCATTGTTTTCACTTCCACAACCTTAAAGGAAAACACAGACAGTCAAACTCCTGTGCACACACACACTCTCTCTCTTGTACTCTCTTTGGCCCTCGGGCCTTTCTTGATGACTTCATGCTGCATCAGAATTCCTGCACACTTTAATGCATTTTCATTGTATTCCACTGATGTCCACACATCATGCTTTAGTGTCTGCTCATACATACTGGTCATGGCGTATGTATTCTGTGTACATAAAGTACATACAGACATCAGTGTGTATGTTTCATGCATGAATGCATAAAGTTCCCATCGTAGTGGTCGGCATGTGTTTAGAGTAAGAACATGTGTATTGAGTTTGTGCATTGAATCTGTCGGGATGAGTCTGAGCAGGCGGGGGTGGGGGAGAGGGGGAGTCAGGATGCATATGGAGGGTTGAGGGTGGAAGGTGGAAGGAGCTGGGCTTTGGTCTGGAGATTTTCTGGTAGATCTGGATGTCTCAGGCTTTAAGGCTTGGTGCCACATACCCTTTTCTGGGTAAACATCCTCACTAGTGGTGAATCTCACCCCCTTCCCGTGGAACACTGGCCCACAGACGGGGCATGAGGAGGGAGTAGTCGGAGAAAGGAGAGAGACGTAGAAATGTGAGGTTTGCAGGTGTTGAATTACAGTGTAGAGACACAGAGCAGCAGTTAAAAGATTTTTCACTTAAATTAAGGTCAACTGAATCTCTGCTCTTTTGTTGCTATTGTTTTAAGAAGCAGTGCAGAGCTCACCTTATTAACATGCAAAGTGTCTACAAAGATCCAGCTTTACAACATTTTTCACGTAGGCCTTAAAATCCCTAACATTTTGCCTAATTACAGTTCAAACATTCATCCGCTGAAACGGCATCACTTCCAGCGGTGCTCTGGGACAACGTGTCGGCATCAACACTTCAACAAAAGATATCAGACGTCATGTTGGTGAGTAATCAAATCAAAGAGCAAGAGGAGAGGTTGATTTATCTTTTCCTGACAAAAAGATGTCCGTTCAGTTCAAAGAACAGTTTCTCCTTCCTGGCTATAAGACTCAACGTATAAAAGCACTGAGAAAACTTTGCCGCTTGTCTTTTCAGCTCTACAAAAAGAGAAAGAAACTTCCAAGAGATAGAGATCTTTATTGGGGACAACATATAATACCAAAACAGAAAAAAAATACTAATCTACACCAGACAATGACACAAGATAGAAACAAAGTTCTCACTAAGAATATAAATACTAAAAACAGAGACAGTAAAAAGACAAAAAATGTAAAAGCATTAGTTTACCTTGGGCGTTTTGTGATTGGACGAAAGTCTTAATGAGTTTATCAGTGGCCTGTGTGTAGAGGGACAGAGCGTAGTGGAGAGACTGGAGGTCTGGACTCTTCTCCAGGAAGGTCTTCTTCAGACCCACACCACCAGCATGGAAATATTGCTAACATACAAAAAGGCAGACAAATCAGACTATTACTACTATTATTATTATTATTATTATTATTATTAACAGCTCTATTACAAGAACAGCAAGAAGCAGCAATTGGAGTGTCAGGAAATTGGGCCAACGACACAAAGTGGATCAGTGTGACTGACAAAATTTGTATTAATATAAATTTTTGTTTAGTCTTACAAAATGTATTTGCTTTATTGTATAAAACTGTTGTTGTTTTTCTTCTGGTTGCTCCATTTTACAGGGGTTGACACCGCAAGTGAACTCACATAAAAGATATGGCAAATGTTTTACGCCGGATGCCCTTCCAGACCCAACCTGGGCTCGAATCTGCAGCCTCAGGATTATGAGATCACAATACTGACTGCTGATTAATCAGTCCTCTGTAACATCTGACAACATTCAAGCTTTATTTCTAGCAAATTTGACACTATTTCTCACTAATTTTATCATTTCAGACGAAATATTCTGTATATTTGAAACCTCACACTCAGAATGTCCTTTATTTAACTGACTAACGGGTTCATGAGCAAATATTTGGAAGCTGCAGCTCTAAGAAAACAGATTTGTATTATTTTGATTAAACTATAGCTTTGTCTTTGTTGCCCAAATCGCTTGAAATTTTAGATTTAATATTCAAACGCAACATAGACCCTGGAAAATCCATCCGTCCATCCGTCTGTCCGTCCGTCCGTCCGTCCGTCCGTCCGTCCGTCCATCCATCCATCCATCCATCCATCCATCCATCCATCCATCCATCC